GATCGAGTTTCGGATACGACGAGCCCGTCGCCGGCGCCTCTCTTAGTGACCCGACTCGACCGGCGGTCTCTCGATCGCCGTCTCTCGGCACGGTGAAGTTGGAAAGTTGTTTCGAACAGCGATTCCGGGGAAAACGAACAAAGAGAGCCCCGACGGAAGAGGCTGAAGGGGTCGTCTCTCCTCGAAGCGCGCACGGATTTTCATCCGGCCGGGAAAATCCAGCCGGACCTGCTCGTTCTCTCTCTCTCTCTCTCCTTGCTTCGCAGGTGAGCGAGCGAGCTAACCGAAAAACATTTACAGCTGCGGGGATCGAGACACTCGTTACGTCGTGAACAACTATCAGTACTATCGACTTCCACTCTTCGTCGTCGAATTTATCAATCTCGGTCGCCCATTCTCCGGCCCGGAATGAACGACCTCGCCTCACCGACGCGATCGCGAGCAATTTATCAAATCACGCTTGTTTGCCCTAAGCACTCGGCGAACTCGCGGATAAGTTCGGCACGAACGAACGAACGAACCAACGTATGTACGTGGGAACGAACAAACGAAACGAACCTTCCGCCCGCCTATCGTCGTCGCCGTCGTCGACGACGTCGTAGCAGTGGCGTTCTTTGGCCGCGCACGGCACTAATTAAAGGTCGCGTATTGTCACGGCCGAGCTTTGTTCGCATTTCAATTACGGCCCGGTCGATTTCGTTGAATGAAGCGCCCTGGGCCAATCCGAAAGGTCCCGCTCGGCCCGACATTGTTCTTATCCCCCTTGTTCATCAGGAATTCGACCGCCTTAAGACACGGACTTTGATATAGTGCTGTGCTGAAAATCGAGTATTATACGAGAAACGCGGGAGATGCTCGTTTAGATCCGGAGTTCGGAATTCGAGCGGGGAGAGAGAGAGAGAAAGAGAGAGAGAGAAGGAGGGGCCGATTATCGTGCTTCATCTCTCCGATCCTCGCGATATTCCTTCATAATCCGGCAGAAAAAATACAGTGAAGTTGGGATTAAGAATTGCTGAGAAATATTTGCCGAATTCTTTTTCCCCGCTGTAGTCTGGAATTCTTGCGAGATTCTTCCCTGTTGAATAAAGACGAACATTCACCTGCACTTTGTGAGCTCGACAAAAAGTAGACAACGCGACGTTTTCGATAATTTATGTTATCCCGATAAAATATGAGTTATTTAGAGAAACGATGAGGGTGAGCTTTCGGGCGGATCGGGCGTTTTAAGGATACGATTATCGTGAAAAAAAGCAGCCGCGACTCGTCGCGGATTCTTTGACAAGGTGAGTTACAACAGTCATTAGGTGGATTGATTTCGCCGCGCGGAAGCATAAATTTAGCGACACTCGAATTTTGCGAATTGAACCGCGAGCCCGTTCGCTGTGTCGTCAATCTTCGTTTCAGACTCCACCAGCCTCTGTTCTCACCGCTCGACTGTGAGGGTGTATTCGTGTGTCGGTAAGGTCCCCGAATATAAAAAAAGAATCAGGCGAATAACACACCACACACACATGCACACAAGCACACACAGAGATCTGCAGCTTTACAGTTGGCAGGTTGATCGACCGAATTTCTTATTTATTCCGGCACGAGGAAACACTCGTGCGAACTAGCGTATTTGCATCGACGACAGAAATATGCCATTTATGTTTCTACAAAATATCCCCCCGACGATCGAATTTCTATCGAGCGGCTCTCGGAGAAAAACATTTTTCGACAAAAGCGTTTCGGCGGGTGAGACCGTCAACGAGATTTATAAAACATTCAGTTAATCACGAAAATAGAATTTATCGATTTCAACCACGGATCGCTCGGCAAAGACGTCGGATTTATTTTCCGTAAGTTGAGCACGTGTGTGTCTGTGTACGTGCCCGAGGAAGATAGATAAATCCAAATTGAAGTCAACGTCTGGACGGCACCCTTGTTTCAAGTCTTGCCCGAAAAAGACACGAAAACCCGATATTTTACATTCACTTCAGCTCTCTCTCTTATATATCCGCGAGATTATTTTTACTTCCCCGCTGAAATATAAAGCAAACACTTTCGAAGATTTTTTTCCCGGCGAATAGTGGTCATTAATACAGGGTCACGCCAGGGACGAGGCGCGCTCGCTGAAAAGGGGCAACTTTCTCGGTAACGAGCGGAATTAATAAAACGCCACTGTTTGCGGATGTAATTTGCGGGATGGAATCAACGTCTATTTAAGTCCTGATGAAATTACCGACCGGTTAGAGACAGATGGAGCTTCAAAGGGCCATGGGATAATATTCATTCATAAATTCCGTCTGGCCGCGGGGAGCTCGGGGGCAGAGCGAAGGGAGAAGACGGACGGAAAGACGCCGCAAGACAGACAGGGATCAGATTGGAGCGGCTGCGAGAACGGCGGGTCGATATTAATTAATCTAATTAACAGGGCCAATTTAAGCCGCGCGAGTCGAGCCCTAATGGCTTTTTCAGCTTAGCTCCCGCGAGCGAGGCAATGTAATATTTTGGCCGAGTTTGCCGGATTAGCTCGGGCAGCGTGCTACAAAAACGGATTAGACTGAGATTCAACTACAAATGAAGAGTGCTCGGCGAATCCGAAGAAAGAATATTTTGTTCTCTCTCTCTCTCTCGGGCGCGGCGTAACTCCCGGCTTGCGCCGAGCGAAAGTCGAATTGTCGTAACGAAAAGGGAAATGGAATAAATTTCTCGCCGCAAATTTTGCAAGCAATGAATATGCGGATTTTCTTTTCTTCTCTCTCTCTCTCTCTTCCTTTCTTCTTCCATTCTCTCTCCTCGACTCCTGCGAGAGAACAACAGACGCGGTCGGGCGGAAATCTCGATTTTCCGTTCGCGCGACGAAGCAGCTCAGTCCGGACTTTGCGTAAAGTCTGCCGACGCACGCAGTCCATATCCCTCGCGGTTTCCACTAATTTCGTAACTAATTACGTCTCCTTCGAACTCGAACGGGACCGTTGCGGCGTGCACTGCTGGCACGGGAACTATCTCGATCCCTTTGAAAGCTACGTTTCGGGTTTGTTCGCGGGAATGGGATGGGAAACCGCGACGTGTGCGATACTTTGCCCGGCGTGTTAAAAACACGGCTGATCGATGCGCGTTGAATCCGTCCACGGGAGGTCTGAGCAAACGCGCTTCGGAATCGTTATTCGCCGACAAGTCTTGGGATCATATTCCGGATGTATAGCGAACTCGAAATACGTCATTCTGATTCTCCAACTGAGAGAACGTTATGCGTGACGCTCGTGCGGGAAAAACGGAAGGTGGAATTAGAAGGGCGTGCTTAGTGGTCGCCAATCGCTCAAAATACGGCTCTTCGGATCGTTTCCGCATTTTTTTTTAATTTCCAAACTACACACTGAGAAAAAACAAGTGGCAGAGCCAACGAAATTTCGTTTGAATAAACGAAATTTTTCCAAGCGCAACATTTAGTTTACTGAACAAATTATACAGTTCCTGCAGTGAGTTATCAATTGATTCAACTATTGCGATTTGGTCAACAGTACTATAACGACGCAGCGTATTGTTGCGCAAACGTGTAATTTGTTCAGTGGGCGCAACATTTTTTTTTTTGAATGAGTGACCGCTGATTTTGTCGATCCGACCGCTTTTTCTCTCAGTGTACAAATAGCAAATCGTGTGCGTAGCGAAAGAAAAGTCACCTATGTTTGAAATGGAAATTTCTATGCACGTTAAAAATAAATTAAGCCGGAAGGATAATTGGAATTTAAATTCCGCCCCCTTCCCCTGTTTACCCCGTTCAAGACCGTCTTTCGGCCCAAAAGATTTCCCGTGCCTCGACGTGTCTAATTACGCGGTTGTTTTGTCAACGCCGCGGTTGAAAATGCCGCTGGGTCTCGAGCTAAAAGGAACTCAGGGAAGAAGAGGGAACATGTGCAGCGAGCGAAAGAGAGAGAGAGCTGCACGTGTAGCGCACAATACCAGCCGCAATCCCGTCTAGAGCGACGTTAGTTTTTCAGAGGCGCGGAGCGGCCGTTTATTCCCTCCGTCGATCGATCGTTAAATCGTGCGTGACGATGAATGCCGGCCCGCGGTGAAACCGACGAGACACGGGGAGGGGCGAAGCGCGTCGGAGAAGATCGTCCGAGGAATTTTTCAGGATTGCGTTATAGACGAACGAACGGTGCGCGAGCGCGGGCACCGCGTGACACGTTTGTGTGCATGCACACAACGTGCACGTGTGAGTGAGTGAATGAGTGGGCGGGTGGCACATTATTTCCGGAGTGGCGGACAACGAGTCTCGAGCGGTGCATTAATTGACTATAAATTCAGTGCTCTCGGCATTAATTCGGCTATCTCGAGAGCGGCTTCCGTCGTCCGCGGCTGCTCGCGATTACAAAAGGAGCGGAGTCGCCCCGTTAACGAACGCCTTAAACGCGCGCTATTTAGCGCGGCCCCGCAAGACGACGGCGGCGAAATGTTTTCCGAGATCGGGCCATTCCGAAAGAGTAATTGATCGTTAAACGCATTTGCATCGCGACACGGTCGCTGTTTCACCGCTCGGATAACGATTACGCAATGCCGCTGTAATCGTCTCGTTTCGTAACGCGAGGAACAAGCGGGTGCGCCGCCTCGGGCGATTCAGACCCCGATGAAATATTCATGTAAAACACACGTAATGTATAACGTCGGTTCTCCGAATATGATTTCGTTAAACGGTAACGTTGCGGGCGCGCGCCCGGCTGTTATCGCGGAAATTTATCCGCCGCTGACAATCGGAACGTTCTCGGAAAACTCGCACATACCTAAATCGTAAACATTCAGCCGCGCCGTGGGCGCCTTTTGTGTGCGGTTTCGCCATTATTTTAATATACTACGCGATTATAAATATCCCGCAAAGCACCACGTATATTTCCAGCGGGGAAACCGCGCACGCATGCTTTTCCCGCCCCCGTACGTTTTACCGCGAAAAACATCGAAATCTATCTGTCCGACACGAGCGCTAACCCCGTGGCTAAAACCGACCGCGTTTGTTGCAGGTCGGACGCACGACTCGACTTACACTCTGTATAGATTAGGCGAGAGGCTGTCCACCGGCGCCAGGTTATACGTGGAGACCGGCAGAGCCGACGGACTCGACACCGACGGCGACTCGCCCAACAGCCTGCACTCCTTCACGGGCCCGCCGATACCTCAGGGCGAGGGCACGAGCGTCACCCGGGCCTTTTTGGACGGCAATCACACCCTGATAAGCATTATGGCGCGCATCAATCCCAGCCCCGATTGGTTCGTAGGCGTGGATTCCTTCCAACTGTGCGTCGAGGGCAATTGGGTCGATACCGTTACCGTGGAGGTAATTACGTTTGACAACAATACGCGTGAGACTGATAACGTTACTGCGATCGAAATGCCCCCCTCTCTCTCTCTCTCTCGCGAAAAGCGGGAATTAAAACGGACGCAAACGGACTGACTGCGCCTACATTTCGCGCGTGATTGTCCCTGCGAAACGATATAACATCGTTTTTCTTTCTCTCTCTCTCTCTCTCTCTCTACGCAGAGAGTTATCTCGTGTTACCAGTTTTTAATTATTACAGGGTAGCGCGCATGAGACTCGCGAGCGCGCAACTCGAACGAACCTTGAAGCATCGACGATATAAAAAGATAAAAAAGAAAATATTCATTTTCGAGTTCCGCGCACGGAACGACCGCCAGCCGGTACATTTATAAGGTAATCTCCACAAAGCGACGCTACGAAATTACGAATTCTACGCTGGAATAATTAAAATGAATGCGAATCGCCGTACGTCCGATTATTCATTCTTGAAAAAGATTATTCCTCGGTTTATTCATGAATCCGACGTTATTGAAATCAAGTGCATCTCCAACAATCGCTGCACAATCGCACGAGCCAGAGACGCGCGCGCGTGCGTCGCCCCGGCCGCGAGATATATTTATAATCTATGCATTTATCCCCGGGAATCGCGAGGACGTCCCTGTCATCTTGCTTAAAATCCGCAAATGCAGGGAAAACGCCGGCGTTTAAATCCGCCTTCCGCTATTCCTTTTTCAACAGCTCGACCCGTTGGATGGGGGCACGGATAACGGCTTCACATTCACGGCTGCCAACTGGCCGACGCAGCCCCAAGGAATCGCTTACAGGATCACATCCCGATATCCGGCACATCCCGCGGGAAGCTTCTATTATCCGAATCTACCTCGTCTACCGCCGATAGCCACCATCACATTCACCAAGGTACGTATCCGTGCGCGGCATCGTCGTGGTATCCACGCTACTAACGCGACGAGTCTTTATCCGCGCGCATTAATTGATCGAGCCGCGCGCGCGTGCGAGATAAGTCGCTAAAACGGGAATTATTGCACCGACTGCTCTCTCTCTCTCTCTCTTTTCGCGCGTAGTTATTTCAGCGTGACGTAAAATTGGAAATTTTCCTCTTTGCGGAATCATAAAAATGCACACGGAACAAGCGTGCGTTTTACCGCGAGGCGGTTACCTTCACAGGACTCTTTGTCCTCTCGATTCTTTCCCCCTTTCGCGAGAAACACAATTTATACTATCGTACTTACTTATCGATGGCTCGATATTATCTCTCCTCTTTTATGCGTTTAATCGTGTCTCGATTTCACCGGGGTTTTTTTCCGCATTGTAAAATAGCCGCGACACGCACGCCCATTAAAAGAACATCCGCGCTCCCGATAATAGCGTTTCACATTAATTTATTTCCCCGGTATTGATATGCCGCGCGTAATGAATGTCCTGACAATATCAGGTTTCAGCGTAAAGCTGATTAATTGCATTCGCTGTTTAAACAATCTTTTAATTCTCCTTATACGAGAGGCGACTCTCGATAACACGGATCCGATAATGTGAAAATGCAGATATGCCGTGCAATGTTTTGCGCGGAATGTCGAGCGCGGAATTTCATGTTGAAAATTACACGTCTACGATCATCTTCATAAAGCGGGACGAACGAGTCGATAAAACTTTTCGTGTATCTGTATTTAAAGATTCGCATCGGTGCCGCGCTCTTTGATATCTCACGACAGATGGAGATCCGCTCGGAGATGAGATCGCATAGTTGTTTCCCGCGCTCGTCAACCTGCGCGCACCCCTTTCCTCATCGCAGGTATTAAATACGTTTCCGGAGCACAAGAGAAGGACGGGCAGAGCTCAACGTAAATATTTGTTTTCCGAAGCTATGCGAACAGCTTCGCTCTCCACCTAGCGTTTCCCACAAACACGAAAGCTATCTCGCTGGAGTATCTTCCAGCTCATTGCCAAATTGATATTTCTACCCTCATTTTTTTCCTCCAATCCGGCGTCCGATGTTAACGTTACAAGGAAAAGTCATGTCGAACCTACGGAACCCGAATTATTTTAAGCTAATTTCCGAAGCTGTCGTAAGTTCGCCTGAGAGACACGGCGAAGTTCATTTCGTAATCTTTCAATGTGCATCAAACAACTATCGTTTAAAATATATAATATATATAAATTTGGTCCTTGCCACATTTTCAATGGCGATATTAAGGAGCTTCTTTCTAAGTTTATTATTTACTGAAAAAAAGGTACTTTAATACAACTTTATTCAACTATCTAAACAATAAATGTTATTTTTGAACGAAAGACAAACATACACGCGATATTACGAATACGAAAATATCTTTTATTTTTTATTTTCCTTATTAATGCTTTATTTATATGTCAGTTGAGTTAATAGAAGTGCACTCATAATAGAGAGAGTGGTACATAAATATTTAAATATGTGTATATACATATATTATTATAAATTGTAAATTCCCTTTGGCTATATTTTCAAAACAAAATGATAACAAATTCTGAAATTATTGCATGGTGTCTCATATTAACCTTTAATATCACAGTAGTTTTTGATTAAAATCCTAAATGTGACATAGAAGGAAATAAAAGTAGAAATTAAAATTTTATCTAACCTCATTAACTTCAAGGAACTTATGTGAAGGAAATGCCATCTTTAATTATAAATATCTCATCTTCCGGATGGTCAATCACTTTCTAACTTTACAGACAAATAGATATTTCCAGCAATATGCAGCTGAAATGTATGACGATTTCTAAGAAACTAGTTTGACGGGTCGACTGCTTTAAAGCGATTGAAATCTCACGTAATCAGTACGGATTCCAACACAATTTTGCACAAATCCAGCATGATTTTTCATAAATAATTAAATCGTTGCGTCCTGCCGACGCTTGCGAATTACAGAGTCGTCCGAGCGTGAATATTTTAATCGATCGTAGATTCGGACGACGCGCGTCTCTTAAGATTCTCCTCCCGACAGCGGGATAACGCTCGCGGTAATGAAGTTCGAGGGGCAACGAGTCGTATTAACTCGCTAATTATCCCTGCCTACGGTCCATCCCGTGTTTCCTCCCTTCCCTCCGTTCTCCACCGGCTCCTCATCATCCGCCTCTTTGCCTCCGACCTCTCTTTGACTCGTGTCACCTTCGCTTCCGCTTTCCCATAGGGCAAAGGGACGGTTCGTCTACTAAATTCCTTCACCCCCCTCCCCTCTCTTTCCTCGCTCGACCTCACTTACCACTTAATTACCAAACTTTTGTCGCTAATCCGATGTACCCTCTCGCACCCTCACCGTTTTCTCGTCATCCCTCTTCTCTTCCTCCTTCGATCTCCCCCGTTTATGTTTACGTAATTCATGCCTGCCGATAACTTCCCGGCAGATTTGTCAATTATCCCGTGTAGATGAAGAGGCAGAATAAAGAGGAAAAAAGGTGAGCCGCGTCATATCACTCTCAAAATAACGATCTCCTACTTTTTCCCTTCGTTATTCCTTTAATTCGCAATAATATGTATATCTTGATGATTTGTTGATTCACCAATAGCGCACATTAGAAATTTATCATGTATGCGTTGATACTTGCAATTTTGCAAACTTATAAACTTCCTTTTCGGCGCATTGCCCGTATCATTCCAAACGCGATGATACAGGAGTCACGTTTCAGCGATTTCGCGTCCTGCCCGGGATACTCAAACCGCCGTTGCTGGTCGCTTTTCGCCGGCTTTCAAAATAAATTCGCGCGCTGATCAACATAATACGCGTCACACTCTATTTCCCTCGGAGTGCGTTTTCACGAGCGGCTATCAAGAACCAGTTTCAGCCCCATCGAGAAAGAGAGTTGCTCGCAACTGCGCTCGCGACCCCACCGTTTCCATTAAACTTCACGCTTCTGGAACTCCATTAAACTGAAAATCAGACCGCCTAATGTAATGCCCATTTCGTACAACAACGCGCCCATTATCGCCCCAAAGTGTCCGGCACGCCGAGATCGGGAACGTTTGTTTACGCCATTTGGCTGCTTGAGCTCTAAACAATAGAGACGGGGGATCGCGCAGAGAAATTAAAATTAATGAACGCGAATCGTGTATGGATTAAGTTGAAATTAATTAAAGTTCCATTTTTGTCGCTCTATTAAAGCGTAAATCTGTTATGTCGGCGGACACCAAAAAAATTTATATTACGCGAGTAACGTTACGTTGCGAAATAAAACCTAAAATAAGTCATAAATTGCATAAATAGGCGGATCGTTGTAATCATTTTAATTCTTTAAATGACAAACAAACGCGCGTCGAAATTAATTTTATTATAAAAAGCACATTCCCCGAGAATTAAATTTGCGGTGGGTACAACGCGAGTTGCTCGCCCCTGCAGAAAGGCCGGAGATGTTTAGTTCTTAAATAGCAAGGAGGAAATTATTAGGGCGGGAAAGAGAAATTTAATTAAAAAGTAACAGTATAAACAGATTTAATCCTAAATTTGCCGAGGAAGCGCTCGTTCACTCTACCGTGCTGACCCAGTTATAACACACCGACCGAAATAAAATCGCGACTTAAGATTAATTCCATAAAAGCTCGCAACATAAATAGCATTCTCAAGCAGTAAAGTATACACGTAAAGTATCTCTCTCCTCTCTCTCTCTCTCTCTGTCTCTCTCGGGGCGCGTACGCAATTACAAATCTAATTTATATCGTTCGATCGTGTTGATCCTCTTGGCGGCTCTCTCATTACGGAATTCTCAAAGCCGCGATATGTGCCGCGAATAAGCAATAATAAACATCGCATGAGCAACATCGTATCTATAATTATATCGCCAGCATATCGTCTCCCCTGAGATATTTCGGGGGGTGAACAATTTATAGTTGGAAAACACTATTTAATAATTCAGCAAAAGAATCTTCAAGCCGGACTCACCGCCGCGAATTTATTTTCGGTAACGTGGTTTATTACCACTTGTTGAATATTTTAAGCGTATTTTTATTCGTTTAATTGGATCCAACCTTCCAAGTTCTGAAAAGCTTTCGGGCGTTGAAATAACGCGAGGTGGCAACACACTTATCGGCGATTCGCAGATCCTTATGGATTAAAATGGGATTAAGGTGAGAGAATTATATTTTCAATTACCGAAAACAAATTGAATTATCCACCGGTGTATTTTTCGTCCGTCGGTGCGGTTTCCCTATTGCGGACAATATTTACTTCTTAAACACGGACTATCTGCGCGATCCGGCGATGGCGACCGGCCAACGTTTGCGGATGGCTAATATTTATTGTGGCCGATTATCAATTGTTAATGTTGACGTCGCACTAGCGCGAGGGTAATTTTACGCGACCGGCTAATACGCGCGCGAAGTGTTAATTATTCTCGAGTATGGTTGCCCACGTGGGGATAATTAGTGCCTCTTGAGGCTGGCGGACTCGAGTACACACACACACACACACACACGCGCGCGCGCGCGTGTTGTATGTGTGTACGTGCTGAAATATGAGTTACTGCCCATGGATATGGATAAATTGAGGTTTATGGCGATGAGAGCCGAATCATCGTGAGGCGAATTAGCTAAATCGTCTCGAAAACGCGCTGTGGCGTCCTAAAATTAATTTAAACATCGGAAATTGAATCAGACGGGGTGCGCGCGTGAGCGCGTATCTTCGTGTGCTGAAAGTACGGCCTCGATTAACCGCCAGCTCCGGGTGCTCGTCACAAAGACCGATTATCGACCACGTGAGAGAACGCGACGGTGTATCGCGATTATCTGACGCGCCATCAACGATACAATTTTACCTGTGGGATACTTCCAAAAATCTCTGAGAGTAAAATCTTACACAATAAAAAATAGAACTTATGTTGACAAGATGAATATGTTAATTTAACATTATATTCGTGTAATTTTTTTTAGTACA